CACAGTCAACAGGTTGGAGGATGACGATGCTGGAGTTTATAACTGTAATTAAGGTATACATGCTGCTCCCACAGTGATACAGCCCCAAACACAAACCTCCCTGCCTGGGAGGCCCAGCTGCCCTCCTGCACTGCTGTCTGGGGAGCAGCACAGCACAGCCTGCTCTATGTGACAGAAAGAGGCTGAAGAATCAGAACAACAAGTTGCAGCTGAGGCCTCTGCCAGGGAGCATGAGGAAAAGAGCAGAGCAGCAAGGACCTGTGTCATGGAAGAGAGAAAAGAAAACTCTCCCTCTGAGGTCTGCTTGTACACACCCTTGACCCAACAGAGGCTGTAGTGAAAAGTTGGCAGATGGTGACTGTATTTTAAGGCAAAATAATGAACTTTCTTGTCTTTCTGTATGTGTTGTGTCAGAAAAGATTAAAAAAAAACATGATAACTGTTCCACAGGTTTGAGTTTCTGCAACTGGAGAATTTGAAACCATGTGTTGTGAGATCAGGGGTGTGGAAGGAAAGCATCAAGGAGTGGTGGGGGACTGAGGACATGGGAGGGAGCAGGAGAGAATTTCGAGATGTCCCATGACTCCAGCTGGTGATGTCCTAACCCAGAGACACAGGAGGGATTCTGGAGATCAGGGACCTGTACTGAGACATGAGGAGGAACTCAGAAGGACAGACGAGCAGAAACCGATGAAAGCAGACTGGGACCCTGAAGGCAACACAGTGTGGAAAGCAATGATATGAAGAGAAATCCACGAGGGAGGCCAAGAAGGACTGGCTAAGATAAAAATGAAAAGGAAGAATGAATGAAACTGAGAGAAATTCATGCCCCAGAGACAAAATAAGATCAATAAAATGACTTTTGTTTTCAATGGTAAACTTTAACTATTTTACACATGAAGGAAATTTCCCTTGGGGATCCTTGCTATAAAACCAGCCAAAAAGTTTCACTTGTGAGATCACAGCCCCTTGAGCAAAAGGAAGAAACTGAAGGCTTCACCTACAGAAGTGTGCATGTGCTGCACTCTTCTGGTCAGCTTTATGCACTGCAAGTGCCCAGTGACACTGTTCAGCCTCTTTCAAATATTTGTCTTACAACAATGTGACCTAATTCAACACCAGCAGAACTGCCACAAAAGAGTAAGTGAGTAACAAAAGGTATAACAGATGTGAAATAGTAAGAAAATGTTCAAGTGGGAAGGGGAACTAGGGAAGGGAAGGACAGAAGAAAAAATGATAAAAGAAGGAAAAATGGAAACAAAGCTTTTGTAACTGAGGGGATCAAGGATTGAGGAGAGTAGAGAGGAATGGAGATAAAAGAATCAACCTATATCATGTACCGGAGCCAGTTCCCTATGAAGACTGCATCAGCATGTATACTTAAAATGCACCAAAATTCACCTAACTTTTAAAATTTGAATAGTTTGTTTATATATCAAAATGAAAATGTAGTTTGAAACATATAAAAAATAGAAAATCATAAAAATGGACTGATCCTCCTTCTTCATTACTTTGGGATACACTGAGTTATTGAGATGACCCACAATCTACTCTCTCTGTCCATCACCACTGGAGACTCAGCCTCCATCTCCTGCAGATCAAATCAAAGCCTCCTGATCTAGGAGGGAAACATCTCTTCAATTCATTTACGCAGAAGCCAGGGCACCCTCCATAGCGTATGATTTATAACACTTTTAAGAAATATTTTTATGTCTCAAAATATCCAATGGCAGTGGGTCAGGCATACATTTTCCACTGAAAATCAGCTGGGTGGAAGCTGAGGATGTTGGAATTTATGACTGCATGCAAGGCCCACAAGCACTCTCCACACTGTTAGAATCTCAACATAAACCTCCCTGCTTGGAGTGGACCGCTGCCCTCATGTGCTACTTGCCTGGGGAAAAGCACAACCAGTTTCTTGAGGTTGTGGAAGACAAAGACTGTGATGCCCTGAGAGGAGCAAATTGTGACTAAGGTCTGTATCCCTGAGGTACCTCAGCTCCTAACAAGCACAATTCATTAATAACCTTCTCAATTGTAATAACCTTCACAAGACAAACATGGCAGCAAATCATATGACCCAGAGTCTACAGAGTCAGTAGAGAAGACTGAGTGGGAAGAGGCCATGAGTAACAAGGACCTGTGCTCCAGTGAAGCCTGAATACACAGGGGAGGACAGTGAAGGTGACTTCGCAGGTTCCTTGTGTGCCTCACAAATTCCTGGCATTTTATGAAAATTGGAACATAAATCAAATCATAAGCATGCAAAATAGACTTTGGTTTTAGACAGGCAAACTAGTGGAAATGCATCAAGTCCAAAGGAAAATTTTCACTGTACATTATAATATTGTACAAACATATCTTTCCAAATTGAGAAAAACATTAAGAATTTTCATGACAAAGAGCCCTTTAACAAATTCAGGACCATCAAACCAGCACTATCAAAATTTGGAAGTCCATCAAAGGAAAAATGCAGAAATCAAGAACAAAATTAAGGCAATGAGAGGAATTAGTCAATATCTTTCATCAATAACTCACAATGTAAAAGCCTTTACAAATAACATTTTAAGGATCATAGACCACACAGTCAGAGATTGTAGCAGTTCAATTATATTTCAGCCAGGTGTGGTGCCAAGTCCCTGTACCCCAGCACTCAGGAAGGTAAGGCAGGAGAATTGCTGCATGTTCAAGGACAGCCTGGGCTACAAAGTAAATTCAAGACCAGCATAAATTGCACAATGAAACCCTAACTCTAAAAGATAACAACAAATCAATAATTTAAGTATGAATGAAAACAGTAAAAATTACACAAAGCAAATGCTCTGCACCAGAATTGGAGATGGAAAAACATATTGAAGAAATAAAAGAGTATTGTGTAGAAAAGTGAAACTAACAAAAAATCATTAATCAGCAATATGAAATTTATATTTCATGGTACTTTATAAGCAATATAAATTTATAACATCTTGAAAATTTAAAGCATTAGCACATTTTTGACAAGAGTATTGATTTCATTAATATGCTCTCCCCTTTTATATCGCTTTCCCTAGATAATGCACTAAAAATTCTTAAAATCTGATTCAAATTTGATCTAAGATTGCTGCCGTACCCTATTGTAACACACCCAGATTGTACATGGTCACAGGGACTGCTGAATTTCCAAGGACAAGAATATGAAAGCTGAATCAATGTGCCCGTTATTTTCCATCAAGTTCTCATATTTTCTCTACATTTCTGTGAAACTTTAAAGCCCTGCTCCGTGCCTGTTCCCATGAACTCAACCCTTTTTTTTTTCTGTCATGTTACTCACTGCTGTTAATTCAGGTTAGATAGATGAAGAATAGAATCTAAAATTGAGGCGAAGGGAAATACACTAAGGTATGCCATGTACATGTACCTACCCCACACAATAAATGCGATCGTTATGCATTGCAAACATGTACTAATCAAAACACATAACATTGCAAAAACAACAAAACAGAACCTAGAAATGTCAAACACAAAGTCACACCAACCTTTCCAAGTGTTTACAGAGAATGTAAACACTCAGAAGACAAAGACACAAGCAGGATGACACAGCCTGTCATCCCAGCATTCAGGGAGCCTGAGGCAAGAGGATGGCATGTGCTGGCCTAAACTGACAAACTTAGTGACTTAAGCTTACTCTGTCTCATAAGATAAAAAATAGTAATCAAAGGAGCTGGGATACAGATTAGTGAGAAAATTATGGGTTCAATCCCAAGGGCAGGAGTGGAAAAGGCAAAGAAGGAGATGGAGGAGAAGGGCAGGAGAAACATTTCGAGCGCTGTATTTAAAATGAGAGCAAACAAGAGGAAATATCTATTTTTCCAATAAGTTTCCACAGTTCTGAGGGCATGAGCCAGAATTCGCTGACTGTCATTTTAACAATACCACGAACTTCAGGTCTTCAACAGCAGGCTTAGCTCCCGACTTGGAGGAAGGAATCTGAAATTGAAATCCCGCAGCAGATCCGACCCAGCACAGCACCCAGGATCATCCTGGCCTGAGCTGCTCACTAATTCACACTGCACAGAGACAGGAAGAAGCCTGGGGTCGCCCTGATGTCCTCACACACGGGCTCCTTTTCACACAAGCACTGCGGCTTCACAGCCCTAGGACAATAAAACACATGACGACAAGGACTTCCATGGCCCTTTAGAAAGACAGCTATGAAGCTATACCTCCTCCGTCTGCACAGCACTTCAGAGGAATTTTTGCCTTAAGAAGTATTTTTATTAATCTGAGTGTGAGTGTGGCATAGACACATCCACACATTTGCATACAGACACATATTTGATAAACAAGTACATGTATTAGATTTTATACTAAATGTAAATAATTTCACAAATAAATCTCAATGGAGATAAACACAACAGATCATTCACAAAATTTTAAAACATACTTAGCAAGAATTTTATATTCAATATAGAAGGCATAATTTCTTCAAAATTTCCACTTGATTTGCACAAGGTTATTGGGCATATGTCAGAAAACAACATATAAATTCTTTCAACATGATTGTTTTTATCCACTTTAGCCAACACATTCAGGAAAGAATATTCTCACACACTTGTAAACCTCACAGAGTTGACATGGAAACAGCAGTGGCCTGAGTCTTACAGCCCCACTCCACCCTACTGTGGCGGAAATCTTTGAAGATCACTGTAAGGTGCAAATTCCTTCAAAACCAGGGTGGAGGCCAAGCACCATGGGCTTTTCCTCCTAGACCATGATCTGATCACACATGTGCATCTCCCAGAGTCTGGGTGCTGCCTTGGGCAACAGGAACATGGTGCTCATGCTCCTGTCACAGGTGCAGACTTTCACACTGCAGTCCTCATGCCCACTACTGCAGACAGCAGGAACTTTCTCTCTATGGGTTCCTCCCAAACACAGAGGAGAGTTTCTACCACCACCTCACAGTAGAGGACCCTGCCTGCCTCTTCACTATTTCCACACCACTGCACCCACCAGGGAATTTGCATCTTGCTCCTCAGAGAGGAACTGCCTGGGCCAGCCTGAGATAAGAGCTCCGCTGTCACCTCACCCTGGGTGATCAGGACTCTGAGTTCAGCTTCTCAACATGAGGCTCCCTGCTCAGCTCCTGGGGCTGCTGATGCTCTGCCTGCCTGGTAAGGACACCTGGAGGTTAGGGAGAGATGGAGTGAGAGGTATGCTCCGGACACCCCCTGCTGCCCAGATGTGCTTAGAACATAGTGACATGGTCTGGTTTGCAGCATGAAGAGGGAAGGATCTGGTCTGCAGGGTGAGGAGATTTCCTAGGGTACAAGGACCTCAGTCCACTGCTATGATTTTACACAAAAAAGACACAGATGGTGCAGGTGAACTCTATGGGTTCCCTTATGGCTACTTGTCTAGGGCCCCATTCTTCAAATTGAATGCTTTTGTATAGAAATCAAAATGATAAAAATAATATAGATTGCTATATATGAAAAAAGGAATAACAATGAAAATAGCTCAAGATATTTTTAAGTGATCTCACGCTTCTCCCTCATCATTTCAGGATCCACAGGAGACGTTGTGATGACCCAGACCCCACTCTCTCTGTCCATCACCCCTGGAGAGCCAGCCTCCATCTCCTGCAAGGCCAGTCAGAGCCTCTTGCATAGTAATGGAAAAACTTACTTTTACTGGCTTGTGCAGAAGCCAGACCAAGCTCCACGGCGCATGCTTTATCTGATTTCCAATAGAGACTCGTGGGTCTCTGACAGGTTCAGTGGTAGTGGGTCAGGAACAGATTTCACACTCACAATCAGCAGGGTGGAGGCTGAGGACTCAGGGGTGTATTACTGTTTGCAAGCTACACATGAACCTCCCACAGTGCTACTGCCCTGAACACAAACCTCCCTGCCTGGGTAGGCACAGCTGCCCTCCTGCACTGCTGTCTGGGGAGCAGCACAGCACAGACTGCTCTATGAGAGAGGCAGAGGTTGAAGAATCAGAACAACAAGTTGCAGCTGAGGCCTCTGCTTGGCCCTGAGAGTGAGGAAAGCAGCAGAACAGCCAGGACCTGTGCTCTGCTGAAGCCTCTGACACAGTTGGGAGAATCATGCAGCTGTCTCCACAGGTTCTTTTGCCCTTGAAACTTGTGTTCCTTTATGAAACTGAATAAAACCAAAACAAACGCACAAACATAAACTTAGCCTAAAATGATTAATAAGATGAAATTATCACATAACTTTGGTACTTTATCTTTCACTGTCTTCTTATCATGTCACCCAGTGCGGAATTAGTAGCCATGCACCAAAAAGCAGGCACAGGAAACAAGTGGTGGGGAAAAAGTAGGTCTGCTGATATACATGGTTAGACATGGAGAGTAGGCAGGGCAGATCACACTGGATCTACGTGCAGAGCTCAAGCCCAGTTTCAGGCTGCAGGTGTAACTCACAGCAGATCTGAACATGAGGAATTTTCAGAGTCCTGCACCAGACACCAAACACAGCAGCCAAACATGGCAACCAGCCATGAGATTAGGGACCATGAGAGAAAGTCAGGGCAAAGAGAAATTGCTGAATACTTTAGGCAGAGAGTTGATTCAATATGCATTTTTTCTTTATTTTTTAGGAGAAAGAGTTTTTATCATCATTATTTTGTGTTTGACATGAAATATACATCAATACTACCTTGAAATGAAAAATCACAGCATTGGGAAAAGTTCCCTGATTTGCAGGGATCTTATCCTGGGTCTGAAGTGACCTACACACCTGCTCCAGAGGAAAGAAAACCTCTGAGCAGAGAATGACACCCTCGAGCCTTCACTCCTCAGGACGATTAAGTTTTGTGGTTGCAAACAAACACCTCAAAATTGCAAGACTCCACTCAGCTCTCAGACAGTACTGGGATCTTCACAAACACCCACAGCTAAGGTGAGTCAACAGCTCCAGTGACATCACCAAGGCTAACTGATGGGAGGCCACATTCTGTGGCCACTGAGTAGATTTTGTGCATGAGCTCCAGCCATACTCCAGCCTCATCAGTTAACACTGTGGATTCACTGTCATCATTTGTACAAGGTCATATGGATCCTCTATTTCAGTTTTCCATGAAGTTATAACTGAGAATAGTACTCAGTACTTAAAACTTCCATAACATTTCCCAAGAGACAAATGATCTTCAACGTTTGTACTAGAGAAAGTGTTAGCCAGACATAACAAGAACTTTCCCCAGGTGGGAAGTGTGTAACATAATACCTTATTTTCTTTGAAGTCTAAGAAGCTCGGTGCTGGAGCACATCCACAGTCACAGAACTTTTCTCTTTTTAGAACAGTTTTGTAGCTGTAAATTTTACATTTATGAAAATTTATGCTTTACACATATATTTCTATTGAGTTTTGCATAAGTATAAATATGATTTCAAAAACCTGTTTGGTCTGTAAAGCAGGTCCAGCACCCGTAGACATTCCCGGGTGCACTCTGTTCAGTCACCACAAACACACCTGAGACTCACTGCTGCCTGCACCCTGCATAAATGCTCTGCCTGTCTCAGATGTTCATATGCAGCTTCCCTTCAATGTGGACATCACAAACTATTTATATTGCAGTGTTGTTCTAGAGAAAATGTGTGTTTTAATTTCTTAGAATGTACATGAGTTGTACCTGGTGCGGTAATTCTGTGGATATCTCAATTGGAGATGAAGCTCTCATCTTGGTGCATCCCATTACATCTGTACATAGCACCGCTTACATCTCCAGGTGCTCTACCAGTTACTTCTCAATACATCTGTTCTCCTGGTACAAACTAAGCAAGCAAAGAAAGGCCACTTCATAGAAAAGCAACTTTAAAATTCACTATCTTCTTCACTGTCTGACAAAGAACAGTCAATGCTGATTTCCAATTGAAGATGGATGCATGAATGGAATCAGTTAGCACATTATTTCCATAGGGGAACAAATAACCAAGTCACAAACACTATTCACATTTCAATTTCTGATTTGTTGTTTGATTTAATCTATATGATACCATCTTTACTTTTTCTTTCAGGAGATTATTGCTACAATTATTTTCTTAGTTATGAAATACTTCTATACATTCTTATACTCTGATGTGACTCTCACCTAACATACTTGTATACTTCAATATAGTACAGCCAAACTGCATATGGTTTTTTAAACGTCCTGATTTACAAGGACAAGAATACAGAAGGTGACACAATGTGTCTGAGTCTGATGCAAAAAACTCGTGGTCTCCTCCCCATCTGGGTTAAACTTTAGAACTTTGTTATCTGACTGCTTCAATGAGCTGAAATTTATCTTCTTTCATTTCATTTACTACTGATTCATGTGAGACAGATGAAGATCAAGGTGTTAAGAGTAGAGGAAAGTCCAACAAGTGAAAATTTCAATTTCTCAAACTGTTTAGACAGAACCCACACATTCAGAAGACAAGTCAGATAGTGAACAATTGTTAGCCCAGCACACTGAGGCTGAGGCAGGAGGATGGACAGGTGGAGTAGAAACTGGTCAACTGAACACTGCTATGAGACCCAGTTTCAAAACCAGAGAAATACAAAGGACTGGTGATACTAAGCTCAGTGTGAACATGCTCGGTTTAACATCTGGTCCACCCCCACCACACACACACACACACACAAACACACACATAGAGGGTGATAAGCACATGCAGAGAGTTTTTTGTGGACAATAAAAGCACTCATTATAGAATCATCCTTTATTAATTTTTCATAAAAAACACTTTCCAAAATATATGAGAGGCACTCTGCAACTCTTGGGCTGTAATAAAAAATAACATGAACTTATAGACTAATGACAGTTTGGCTTTACTCTTTAACAGCTTTGGAGGAAGTTTTGAATTAACCCCCCTTCCAAAGTGACAATCTTGATAAACTCCACGACCATGTCAGCCATTGGCTCAAATTATTCTGAGACATTAAAACTGTGACATGTTTTAATTGAATCCAAAATGGATTCAATCATGCCACTCTGGTATTTAGAATATTGATTTAATTTATAGACCATGCGTGCCCAATATCTATTAAAACAAAGAGTAGATATGAAAAAGTTCCTTTATGATCATTCAGAAAATAGTAGCATCAATTTTTCCTCAAATATTTTGTATAAAACCAAGAGAAATCCTGGCCTAAGAAATAAAACGTGTCTGTGTGTGTGTGTGTGTGTGTGTCTGTGTGTGTGTGTGTGTGTGCATCAGAATATATATATCTAGAAAACAACAGGATTGACCAAATATTTACCAATTTCAAGATCTACTCACAGAAAATTTACATCTACATTTAAGGCATATTTTTCTTAACTCTTCCCTTCAACAGAGTCAGTGGTCTCCAACTTGAAGAGAGAGAATTTTCTCTGTATCATATTCTTTTGTTTTTGATGCTCCTAGAACATTTAATTTCTAGGTCAAGGAAAAGATTATTTCTAATACTTGTTTCTAAGAAGAGGAGAGTTCAACCAGTCACATCAAAAGGCCTCACAGCACTGGTACAAGCTGTTAATGCTAAAAAACGCTAAAACTGAGTTGTCATGAAGTGAGAATTGCTTTTTCTCTTCCAAGAAGCTAAGAAACATGAGTCTTCCCCTCCCAGAGACTGATCTGCACACATATCTGTATCCTGGGGACCACAGTCCTGTCTGGGATGGGCACAGCCCTGACCACTGTGTCCCTTATGGAGACACAGGTTTTCCAAGGATTCCTTGTACCCACTGCTGCAAACAGCATGGACTGTAGCTCTATGGTTTTCCTCCAAATACAGAAGAGATTTTATACCGCTGGGCTCACATGAGAAGCCTCCCACCATGCTCTTCACTCTTTCTGCACCACTGCACCCACCAGGGAATTTGTATTTTGTCCCCGGGGATAACCTTCCCTGGCAAGTGTCACATAAAAGCTGGCTCTAGCTTTGCCTTACCTGATTAGGACTCTTCAGTACCAATTCTCATAATGAGGCTCCCTCTTCAGCTCCTGGGGCTGCTACTGCTCTGGATCATTGGTAAGAACACCAGGAGATGAGGAGGGGCATGGAGAGAGGGGGTGAGTTTGAGGTCCCACTGCTGCCTGGCTGAGTTCAGTACATACATGAGATGTGCATCCCTGACTTGAAGCATGGAAGTGAGAGGTTAGATCAGTGAGGGAAGGAAATTCCTGAAGGACTCAGGACCTGACCTCCCATGAAGACTGCCTCAAAGAAAGAGAGGGATGCCCAGATGAAATCTAGAGGGAACTTTGTGATTAAAAACCTTGGATATAATCTCAAATTTGAAAATTTTCCAAGGCACTTTAAAATAAAGATACTAACTTCACTTGATAATGAGAAAACAGAAATCTATCAAAATGGCTCATAAAGTTCCTTCCTGATATTTCACTTCTCCTTCATCATTTTAGAATCCACAGGAGATGTTGTCACGACCCAGACCCCACTCTCTGTGTCTGTGGCCTCTGGAGAGCTGGCCTCCATCTCCTGCAGGTTCACTCAGAGCCTTCTACATAGTGATGGAAACACCTATTTGAATTGGGTGGTGCACAAGACAGGCCAGGCTCCAAAGTGTATAATTTTTCTGTTTTCCAAAAAGTTATTCTGGACCCCAGACAGGTTCAGTGGCAGTGGGTCAGGAACAGATTTCACAATGAATATCAGCAGGGTGGAGGCTGAGGATGCTGGGGTTTATTATTGTGTGCAAGATTTATATATTCATCCCACAGTGCTAGAGCACCAAACACAAAGCTCCCTGCCTGGGGAGACCCACAGCACAGGCTGCTCTGCATGAGAGGAAGAGGCTGAAGAATCAGAACAATAAGTTGCAGCTGAGGCCTCTGCCCGGGCCTGAGAGTGAGGAAAACAGCAGAGCAGCCAGGACCTGTGCTC